ATGTATGCATCTGTTAGATATTGTCACTTTATTTGATGTTAAAATATTTCAGGTTTTGAATTACAAATTGAATAATAACCTTATAGCATAAGTTCAGTTATTTCTTGTCTGTGCTTTAGGTTATATGTACAAATAGTGCCAACACTTGAAGTGGGGAGGGGTAATACATTTTCACCCAAATGCTTTGGTCTTGGCGTGGCCTTTGTGACTTAGTTTTGATGTTGCCATTCTGTAATGGTGTGACAAGAGGGGCTGAGGAAGTGCGAGGTTTCCCAGCAGGCTCGCATCCCATCCCTTTGAGATGCCTTGGTAGGCCTGTTCTGGTGGTTGTCCCTTGCTTTTTGTGGCAGTTGTCAGCTTGTTCTGCACATCAGCCAGTATCTTGGAGATGTCCAGGTGCCTCTCTAGTGCAGTTGGTTTGTATGACACCTCCCCAGTGCACTCTTTCCTTCATGGCTTTGTTTACAGTGTTGTTCCTCCTTTGTTTTCATTCCTTTCTCACACTTTTTCATTTCAATTCTGAACCACTGTTTCTTTTCTTTTTTTTCTCTTTTTCTGTAGCTTCTTCTTTATGTAACCGTCATCTTGCCAAAGCCCCCACACCCCCCCTCCCAGTGGACAGTAGGGCACTGGAAGAGCCTGCAGCTACAGGCACCCTCACCAGGAGAAGAGCCATCACATTCCTCCATCACGTCTGCCCTTCTCTCCTTCCCTTTTTGTTTCTCACCTGTGTGTCAGAGGGTGTGCTGTGCTCTGTGTCTCTGTGCGGGATCTGTTCGCTCCCAGCGCGTCTCCGACAGAATGGAGGCTACCAAAAGTGACAGAGGTAACGGCTGGAGGAGAGAGCTTGGCCTTAATGTGAGATACTGCACTGGGTTAGTTGTTGGTTTGGGTTTTCTCCCAATTTTCTTTCCTTTTGCCATAATATGCACATGTTGCTGATGACAAATAGAATGACGGACTGTGGATGAGGTGAGTGTGCACAGCTGGAAGACTTCATTTCTGCCTTTAACAATCAAGTCTGGCTGCTCTGGACACCATGACTTCATCACGAGTATGTCCTGTGCTCCTCTGAGAAGCGCTGAGAAGAAATCCTTAGACATAGGTGACTTCTTGTTTTCAGGATGTGTTTGCACGAAGCAGAGACGGCCAGTGTTGGGTACTGGTGCATTGAGGAAGCCTGTTCTGAATGGTCAAGGCCTTACTATTTTATGGCTGATTTGCTCTGTAGGAGCAAAGTTGGCATCTCTTGTACAGCTGAGCTGTGCTGACTTTGTACTTAGATTGCTTGAGGGCTTCATTTTGTTTTCATGGAGCCTAATTATTGATGATTTTTTTAACAATCCTGAACATGGGATAGTTGGTAAACTTTTGAACTTGCTTAGTTTGGAAGTGAATTCAGTCCAAAAAGCTTCAGGAGTACCAAAGTATTGTTTGAAGGTAAAAAGAAAGCTTGCAAACTTGGGGTGTAGTGACCTCTAGCTGGTTTGGGACAGACAGAAGGACACAGCCTGATCCTCTTTGGGTGTCTTTTCATGTAGGGTGATGCAATGTTTGTTAAGTGAATACTAGTGATTTATTCTTTTCATCTGTGAACCTTAATCAAGGAATTCACTTCCTTTAACTTGCCATGGGAAAGGTACTATTAAATAGTCTAGGTTTTGCCTCTTCCAGGCTGTGCGGGCAGCGGAAGCTGACAAGGGACTCAAACCTGGGGGGCACAGTTACCTCTCAGCACTCTAGTGACAAAGGTTAGATGATCATCAGCTCCCACCAGCCAGGGGCCTGGTTTTCTAAAGCGGCAGAAAAGGCATTTATCCTGGAAACCTTTGTAATGAGCTGAGTGACTGTATAGCCACGCTCAGCTGAATTCTGGCCTTGTGCATATGCTGTAATGATTTACCTGGTGTCAGTAGAGTTGATGGCCGTTGCCCAAACTGAACAGACATCAATGTTTGAACAAATGTAGCTTAGGGCAGTACTTGTGCTAATACCAAAAATGGAGCCTGTTCTGCTCTCTGGGCTTAAGGGGTCTGAGGTGATACTTGCTCTGCAGCCGTAAGTGCTTACCATGAGATAGCCACATTTGGAAAACATTTCACATTCAGCCTTCTGAGGACAAAACATAGTGGCCAGTGCCTCGCATGAAGGTGGACAGGGTTTACTGAGATGTCTTGCCTGGTTTACAAGTGCTGTGTCCTTTCTTCCGGTGTTGGCAGGGTCAGGGACCACCACCTCAGGCTCGGGGGCCTTGCTGTGGCTCGTCTGTGCAACCCTCCTCCATGGAAGCCTCCAACTTGCCACAGTACCCTGTAGGTTACTTGCCCAGAGTCCAGCCCACCCACTGCATGGCTCCTGCACCATCCTGCATGGTGAGACCCTCCCCAGAGCCCCTGTTTGGGCAGGAATCCTTTCCTTATGTGTGTCTCATTCGTTGGGCCTTCGTTTCCATTTCAGAACTGTAGTATAGGTTTACGTGGTGGTAGGAGCTTAGCCTCTGAAATCCCACCTCTGTGCTATAGCCTCTCTCTTGAATTGGTCACTTGTTACTTACATCATGATCATGGATGAGCACAGAGCTACTCTGCTGGGTTCTGCCTCATGTCAGGTCACCCATGTTGTGCTGTTGGCAGTGGCCTGGGACTCAGGCTCAGCCGTGGGTGGCTGGGCATCATTTCCTGCAAGTAAGAAGAAAAAAAGGTGGGTTGTTGGTGTTTTTTTTATCCTGTACCTGAAGAGAGGGGTACCAAGTGCTACACCCCATCATCTTACCCATGTAACTGTCCCCTGTGACTCTCTGAAACTCTGCGTGTGGCAGTAGGAAGTCATGACCAAATCTGCAGGTTGGGAATGCCTAAGAAGTATCCTGGTTGACTCCCATCTGCTGGGATTTCATCCAGCTTTTGAAGGAGACTTTTCCTCTTCTAGGGTGTTTCTTCTGCCCTTCACAAGTGCTGGGTTGTGGTGGAGGAGGTTGTTCATCATCAGTGGCCGAACTCAGGGCACCAGTAGTGCTGCTGTGTCAAGGCCTGCAGAGGGCAAAACTCTGTTCTTAGTTGACTTCTAAATTCCCAATGGACTTTTGTTAAAGCTTTCTCTAAGGAGAAGCAGATAGATAGGCACAAAACAAATGCCAGCACTTGTGTCAATTGCCTTTATTTTGCAGCGCTAGAGTTTTGCTGCGCTGGTGCCTTGAATCCTGCATGCACCTCTGGACTTCATGTCTCCAGAAGGACATAGTGGAGTTACAGAAGGGCGTTGATGATAAATGGGATGAAGCAGCAGCCTGCCCCGTGAGACTGAAGGGGCTTGGAGGCCTCCGTTTGTAGAGGGAAAGGCTGAGGTGAGAGGGAGGATCAGCCCTTCTGTGAGCTGGAAGTTGCAGCCGATGTCCTCTAGAGGTCCCTTGCAGCCTAAAGTTATTTGTGATTCTGTGATACCAAGTCGTGCGCGTGGATGCTGAACTGCTAGTTACCGAATCGCCACGGCTGGAGCCAGAGAGGCACTTGGCTAGGAAGAAATCGGCTCAAACCCATGGAATAAGTTTCTTACAGAGCCGGTAGTAGACTTCTGGAATTTGTTGTCCCAGGTTATTGAGGAAGATAGTGCCAGAAGGTCTTGGGGTTTGTTTGTTTTTTTTTTGGTTTTGAGTGGTTTTTTTTTTAAGGTAAGTCCACTGGAAACCGAGCCATAGATATTCTAAAGAGGGAAAAACCAGGATGAAACATCTGACTTCCATAATCTGATGGCGTTGGATACTGGGACAGAAGGAGGGAACACTGAGCAGAAAGCATGTATGAGCAGCACTACACGTGATGGTTGCAGCGAGATGTGGGTGTGGAGCAAGGGACTGAACTGAGCAGTGCTGAGAGGCTTTCTCACACCTTGGTGATGAGGGGAAGGGATGATGACTTGCCCTTTGAATCACTTCCATCATGGTTAGGGGAAGAGGGGTCAGCATGAGGAGGGACAGCAGTGTGAAACCTGCTGTTGGACAGCCCAGAGAGGTTATGTGTAACTTGGTGTCACCCAACGTCCCTAGCAGAGTGTTTTGGTATCTTGCTGAGGCAGGGTTGTGGGAGAGCTAGAAATAACACTATCACGTGTACTTCTAACAGCAGCTGATGATACTGTAAAATGAACTTTGTGACTCTCACAGGCTGCTTCTCACTAGAGAGGGTCCCCTGCCCCTTTGCTGCAAACAGCGAAGTTGTTGCTTTTCCCCAAAGTCGTCGCTTTTAGGGAGAAGAAAATGGTGAGAAGAAAAGTTCTTACCTTCTCTCAAAGCAACACATCTGTTAACGAGCTGCTCCTGCAGCACCAAAACCTCTCCCCTTGGGCCCAGGTTCCCTCCCTTCTGTTCCAGCCAGGCCCCTGCCAGCTGGCACAAGCCAACACCTTCCTTTTTCCAGCCCTGTACCAAACCCTCGTGCATTTTTGCAGAAGGGTTTGGGCTGTGATCCTCACGAGAGCCTGCGTGTCGATACTGGTGAATATGGGGTGGGGGAGTGTGTCCTTTAAACTGTGAGGAAGGAACCTGCGGAGGGGTAGAACTCAATGGAAGGTGAGGCTTCAGGGTGTGCTGGGTGAAGCCCTTAGACTGCCTGAAAAGGTCAGAGAGTGCTTCTACGGTAGGGAGGATGGTGCACACCCCTCTGGGAAATGTGGCCTCGGGAGGCGGTTTCAAGGATGCGGGTGGGAAGAGAGCTGAAACCCAAGGGAAGCTGCTCATGGGGGGCTGTGCACCATAAAAAGGATGGCACCTCAGGAGACAGGCAAGAGGAGGGGCCAACTTCTGAAGAGCACAGGACCAAAGCCAGCAAGAAGGTATCAGGATGACAGAATCTAATCCCTTCTGTCACTGATGAGCTTCCAGAAGAGCAAGAATTCAGTCTGTACCCCCAGCAAGCTGCTCTGACACAGGTCTGGCATGGCACAGCTCCCTTCCAGCCTCCAGATAAAACTGATCCCTGACTTGGGTGAAAATCATACAACCAGACTTGGAATCCAGGACAACTTTATTGCTACCAGAAGGCTTTCATCAGTACAAAGGCTCCAGATACAATACCTTCCTCAGGGCTGTGGAGAGAGCTTACAATTGGGATGGGTCATTCTCAGAAACAGAGGTGCAACATCGAAAAGACATGATTTTAAAGGTTGTACTCTTGGTTAGAAGTTACATGAACACAAAACTTGAGGGTTAGGGTCTTTGCTTTTGGGTTTGTGGCTGGTAATGACGCACCTTTCAAACCTGGGGTGTACGGAGCTGCCCCAGCACCTCACCCAGCAGGGCTGGTCACACCCCAAGCTTACAGACACACGGGTGGGAAAACACTCTGCACAATTAAAGGCTGATGCTTGATGTAGAGAGTGAAAATCCACACAGAACGCAAGGTTCCTTGGTGCAAACAAGGGAAAAAATACCATTTTTGTTCAAGTGATGCAAACTCCATTAACTGCTTTCTGTGTTGGAAAACGCTGAAGTCTCTGTGCATGGCACAGAGCCCCATGGCTGGCTGCCGTAGTGCTCTTCACACTCCTAGGATTATTCCTGAAGTATGGAGCAGCCAGCACGTGTTGTTTTTCTCTTGGTCCTGACTAACCTTTAGTTGAAATCCAGTTTTAAAATATTTTAGTCACATTTAAACACCAAAGTGCTAGCAAAACAAGGAGGGTCTTTTTCTTTAGAAAGGAAAAGGAATGGTGATGTGGAGGTCAGGTGGTACAGGACATCATGCACAGGACTGGCTGAGAATTAAAGGAGGAACAAGCAAAAAGAGTGAGGAGCAGATGGAAATGGACCAGAGAGGTGTTAAGTTGCCTGGGAAAACAGATCAGCTCTGCAGGAGTGATGGGAGCTCTGGGATGTGGAGAATGGGTTACAGGACACAGGAGCAGAAAAACAGTGGAAGTAGAACTGACAACACTAGAAAGGAACAATTTTCTCTACTTTTTTTGTTTGGTTTTTGGGTCTTTTTTTAGATTTTTTATTCTTTTTTGTGTTTTTAAGTGCTTAAATAGTGGAACTATAATTAGCCGCACAAGAAAAAAAAAATCAAAAAAGGGTTAGGATTTTTTTTTCTGGGTTTTTTTTTTTTTTGCTCCCTTCAGTCCAGCCCTAGAAGGTATGGCCCCTTCTCCTCCCACCGAGCAGACAGGAGGCCAGGTTCTGCACTCTTCTGTGGTGGAGTGGGTGGTGTGCGCTCCCAGCTACATCACAGACACTGGCTGTAAAGGTGGACAAGGGGAAACGTTGCCCTCCTGCCTCGAGACATCAGCACCACAAACAGAGCCCATGTTTTCCAGAGCCACTATCTCTGGAGCAACGTCTTCATTGTAGAGACGCTTGATCCCATCATAGAAGTCGTCCACTTCCATCTCTTCCACTTTACGCTTGGCAGAGGCTTGTTTGCAGCTGCTGGGAGCTGGTAGATGCTGGTAGAGTGCGGCTGTACCTGTGACTGGCACTTCTGGTCTGCTGTTGTCCTTGGAGAAACTTGGCCCTGGGACAGAGGAGGGCTGGCATGGGAACACTCCTCTGTTACAGGTCACAAGGGTATGCTGGAGGGGACTGTAGACATATACAGGATTGGGCAGCAGAGAAGACTGCAGGGTGGAAAGGTGATGTGCCACGAGCTCCCGGCAGTGGATCAGCTGTGAGCTATCCATCTGGAGAGGGAAGACAACAAAGGAACCAGCATTGTGGGATCACTGCTATGGATAGGGTAGCTGTCAGCCAGGGCAGAGCTCAGGCTTGGAGCAAACTGCCCACCCCTGCACCTCACTTCTCAATACACTGGGTGCAGGCAAAAGTAAGTAGTAGAGGACCAAAAAGACCTCTGACATGATGACTTTATAAGACCAACTCCCCCTCCTGCCTAAACCTCATGGGAATGGGGGTGTGTGTGTGTGTGGAACCTTTCACATATTAAAAGGTTTCACATATTTTCAGCAACTTTTCTCTTTCCGGTACTTGCTGGACCACCACACATGCTCAGAATGAACTAAGAGAGGTTATCTAGGATTTTCTCCCGTGTGTTATTTGCTCTGTGGTGCAGAGAGTGCCCATACGCATCAGGGCATGCAGCTCCTCCCTTTATCACCAACTGGATGCAGTCAAGCTCAGGACTTTGTGGAACTATCCCAACAAGCCCTTCCGGCTGAAGCACAGCTATCCTTGCAGAAGCAGGCAGAGATGGTCTGTGAGGGATCCAAAAGCCCCACTGGTGGGATCCCTGAAGTTCTGAGCCAGGCACAGCCCCTGGTCCCTCCCCGCTGTGATGTGCAGTGCCAGCACCCCCTCACCTGTGCTTTCTGCAGCAGCTCGATGATGAGAGCCAGCCAGTCGGGGAGCAGCTTCTCCAGCTCCAGGCTGACAATGGCCAGCGCCAGCATAGAGCCCTTGAACTGCAGCAGCTGGTAACAGGCCATGCAGTGCAGCAGCTGCTTGGTGAGCACCGCCAAGTGCTGAGAGGGACTCAGCTTGGGCAAGATGGTCAGTAGCTGAGGCCTGTTGGACACCGCGACTGCGTGGAACTGAGGGGGAAAACAAGCATGTGAGGCAGCTGGCATCACCCCACAGGCCAAGCTGGGGCAAATCTTGCGAGCCACATGCGATTCATTTTGGACACACAAGGATCCTCCAGCTTAACCTTCAAGGCCATTTCCACACCACAGAAAACACACTAATGCACTGAACCCATCAAGAGCTTGGTGCAGCCTCTCTGGTTGGCACCTGCGTCACACACACCATCTGCCTAGAGACGGGGCTTCCCAGGGCTCTGCAAAAGGCTCTCCCCTTCCACCTTCTCTGACTACACAGGTTTGGCATTTCAGGTGTCCTAGGAAAAACTCCTTCTCAATCAAGCAGAGAGGAGGAAATTCAACAGAGAACCTGAGGACACTTTCCTTGCCTTTGTCTTGTCTCACCCATGAACCTGGTTCTCTGGCAGTGTGCTTCAGCAGCAGGCATATGTGCTTCCTCCATGTTGGGCTTAGGGCTTTTGTGCTGCCTGGCATTTAGCTTTGAGAAAAATCATTAGAAGTTAAGACTTAGGTGCAAGGTTTTCAGAAACTGTGAGTCCTAGTGTGTAATTTAATATGCCTTAATATAGGCCAGGTGGTCAGATGGCAGGTCTGCACTTTGGAAATGCCACACAAAGTGTTAAAAGTCTCTTCTGGAATTCTCTAGCAAGGCTTTTTCTGTCAGAAACTACTTGTATGAAAGAATTCTGAACACATCCTGAGATCTGTGTTCTGGTTTTGTTGAGGAACCTCCCGAATCATTACTTACACCGACCAGCACCAGAATGAATGTAAATAGCCCCTTACTTGTCCTTACTTACAATATGAAGGAAATCCAGTGGCGTTGCCATGTGAAGATCCCAGTTCAGTTTATCCAGGATAATCTTCTCCATTCTGCGAATTTCAGCTGGAGAACAACCACAAAAGCTATCCCGAGCCAAAACCTTCAGTACTGGAATCCTCTGCAAAAGCCAGTGCAAAGGAAGAAGCAAGAGAACCACTCATTAATCACACACAATGCTTCGTTCCTATCCTGGCAAGTGCCAGGCACCATGTGGGAGCAAAGGCAGGACTGGAGGAGCATGCATTCAGACAATACTAAGGTAGTAAGAGCAGAAAAATTACCTCATCTTCCTCAATGGTCTTTGCAGCGAGAAAGAAGCAGCTGATTGCAATACAGTTCAAGTACTTCGGACGGGCCTATAGTACAGAACAGTAGAGAAGTTATGAATATGATACGAAAAGTACATGTAACGCCTTCTGGTGGGACAACCTGAGCCTCAGGGTCTGGGTGCCTATGCAGCGCATCCTGGATCAGCAGGCTGACCTCCAGCTACACCATCTCCAGCAACAATCTGTGCTCCGTGACATTAGGAACAGGAATCTGCTGGCCTTCTGATGGTAACTGGCACCCATTGATGTACAGCGCTGGAGTGGAAAAAGCTCACTTTGAGTGAGAAATAGGAGAAGAAAATCAGTAGGGCCAGACTGTCACTTGCCAAAAAAGCTTCAGCTCTTAGTGTTGCTGGGGGTCAGGCACAGAATGGGAGAGAAGAGAATTAAAGCCTCTTTCCTTGCCTAGGGAAGTATAAAACACCCATAAAAATCACCACTTGGGTAATTTCATATTGCAGTTGTCAAAACTGTGGCACACGGATTATCAGGACAGATGGTCTCTTCTACAGGGAGTTGTTTTAGGCAAAGTAAATGAAATTTGGAGGAGAAAGGGCAATTAATTTTTTCATGGGGATAAAAAACTCCTTTTTCAGGCCTTGATTGGGGGTGAGGTGGGAAGCAGGACACAAGGGCGGGAGATGTTCAGCCAGTCCCTGTGACAGACCAGCCATATAGCCTCTGCACCCAATAGCCTACAGGCAATTCTTCCTCTCCTGCTCATGTTAGGAGATGCTGAAAGCAAAGGTAAGTGAAAATCCTGCGCTTACTGTGAGCATCTACTTGGTGCCTGATCCGTTGCCATGACTTACTCCTGCTTGGTAAACTTTAGCAGATGCAGCAGAGCTGTGGGATGGTGGAGGGGTGAGATGCTACATGTTACACTCACGCATGTAAACAGCTGTCAAGAATTCCAAAACAGTGTTTCCAGAAAGCAACAGAAGAACACAGGACAGTGCTGAAGCTGAACATCTTTACGTACATTCAGCCCCAGTTACTTAAAAAGGGCCTAGAGCTTTGGCTTTCCAGTGTTATTTAAACTTAAATACACATAAAGAATCCACACTTGGGGGTGGCGGTTGTGTCTGCATGCATCTGCTTGTGGATCCAGGTGTCACTGAAAGCAAGGAGAATGAACTCCCTCTTCTGAGGGTTAAGAAGTGTTGTGCAGGAGTGCCTTAGGGGCAGCTAGCCTTCAGCTATTTCAAACTGTGTTCACAGTGAAGGGCAGACTGGTTGTCTTAGTAAAATCCCACACAGTAGCAGCTGGTAAAAAAGAAAAACAGGAGTTAAATGGCATCAGAGGAATGGCAGCTTTATGGGAGAGGAGAACAGGGAGAAAGCAGCAAGCCCTGAGCTGTTTGAACAATGCTCACCCAGACAGAATACCTTTCTCTATTGCTGCTTGCTGCCTGAAGCACCCAGCGGACTCCCTGCTCATATACTTTTTTTGTGATTCCTTGGCTGCTGCAAGGTACTGAAAGAAAGACTGTACTCAAAGGCATTGGATGTTGAGGGGTTTAAATCTATTTCCCATCTCAGTCTTTCACTAAATCAGCTACTTTACTACCTTAAAAATAAAATTTCCATGGCTTGCAATTAAAACATCAGTATTTACTAGTATTTAAAGGGTAGGTTGATGATGTCACTTGTGTTCCAGCAAACTAAGTCACACTGCAATCTAAGTGCACAGACTGAGAAAACCTGCTGCTGAGACCTCTTGAGCTCTACTGCTTACCTGACAGTGTTGGTGATGAGACCAGAGACACACAGGTGAGACTAAGGATTGGCACGGGACATACCTGAGCAAACATGGTAAGAAGTAAGGCAACCCAAACCCTGACAACAACCAGAGGCTGGTGATTCTGGGTCAGTCCCATTTGTTCAGTCACTTGCATGCATGTGAAACAGCCCCAGATCACCACATCTAACCCATTTCCATGGCGGACTTAAGAGGGACAGGACAGCAGCAGATCCCAGCTGTAGCAGCCTTAAACCCAAACGGCCATATACATTCTTCATTCCCAGCACGAGTGACAGTCTATCACTTTGATGGTTTGCACCCATGCTTGCTCATGTCTCTTTCTCCTTCACATCTCCTGAGTTGACATCAGCCTTAAGCTATTAGTCTGTCCAACTGGCTAATAGAGCAGGTCAGTAGTGAATGACCCCCAGAAAGCAGCCCCCTCTTGGCAGGATCTGTTTCCCCCATTTTTTGATGTTTTTAATTTCCTCTCCCAGCACTGGCACACTTGCCAGGCCCAGGCCTGTCCTCAAGCATTTCTTTGTTTCCTCCAGCCAGTTTGTCACTACCAGGTGCTCCCAGCAATTCTGGGTGCTACATATGAGATGAAATGCTGTTAAAAACACCAGAGGAATTAAGAGGTGAGCAGGGACTTCCCATGACTTCTCTGTCAGAGGGCACTGGACCTGGGTTTCTAACTGCAGGCATTTCCCTTAGCTTTATGAGTCAATTTAGGTTAAGGTAGAGGCCATTCTCTTTTTATCTAAGCTGTAACCTCTATGCAGCCTCTTTTTCTGATGGCTTAAAGGAACAGGTAAGGTGCTGAACTCAACATTCAAACCAGGTCTGAGTGAGCTGAGGAGGAATGGTGCTGCTTTTCTCTTGGGTTAATGTGTAATTAAACTAATGAGCTGCATTACATGAAGGAAATAGGCCTAACAAAGGGCCTAAAGAGGAAAAATACTCTTGGCAGGTGAAAAGCACTGGGTCAGATCCCCAAGCACTGCCTGTTCTCACTGAAGCAATGGCTGCTTTCACCAGGTAAAAAATTACTATGGAAAGAATCTTTCTCCAAAAGCTCCAGGTGGCAGCATGTGCTGCCAGTTCCACAACCCAAAATTAAGCTCCTGGAGCAGTGCAGGTACAATCCTACACGTGTGAGAAGGGAAGAGGGTGTGAGGTCAGAGGGGGAAGTGAGCGTTTCCATATAGCCACACCAGAAGGACTGAACACAGAAATAGCAGAGTGGGTGGTATAAATCTGTTCCAGTTCGTGTATCTGCAAATATTTACCTTTACTGCAGCTAAAAACCTGTCCAAAAGGCTGATGGCCAGGGCGAGCGTTTCTGGATAAAGGTGGAATTGGTACTTGAGCTTGGCCAGCCACTGAATGACCTCATCCCTCTGCTTTGGAGAAATGGCTGCATCCTGCTGGAGATAAAAACAAATCATTCTTACACAAAGGCTCAGCAAGTCAAAAAAGACCAAATGTTTTACCTCCACAGGAGTTTTCCAAAGGCTCCTTTGGAAAGTAGGGGGGTGGGCCAACCTGAATGACCACATTGTGCTTGCAGTTACTTCCCCCATCCCAAGCAATTTGTGCTGGAAAAGACAACTTTCCTTGCATCACTCAGAAATTTCACTGTATGCTGGGGAAAAGAGGAAGGATGTCTTGTAGTTTCTCCAGCTTAGCACAAAGAGATTTGTTATTATTTTTAGCCTCCTTAGGTCCATGTTGATACATGGACGTGCCTGGCTTGAGCAAACCCAGATGTGCTGGAGGAGACAGGTGGGTACTCAGCTCCTGACAGATACAAGAGGGGAGGGACCAAGCTCATGTTTTGGGAAGGAAGATTTATTTTTCCTTCACATTACAGGGATATGTTTAGCTCAGTGTATGTTAAAAGAAGAAACTTCCAAACAGCTTCCAAAAGATCTTCTGCAGTACAGTTAACTGTACCCTGGGTTTGCAAAGCAGGTACAATTTCACCTCAAAATGTTTGTGTTGGGGTTTGGCTGGGTTTTTTATAACTTTTTGGCTTACCACTGACCTGTTTGCACAATAGCTGAATTTCAACCACACATACATACTGGTATAAAATCTTTCTCTCTGAATTCCTAAAGAAATATTTACAGCTTTAGAAGACCCTTTCCCTCCAACCAAGCAAATGTCTCGTCTCACTTCTATGGGGAATAATTGGGGTGATTCGCAAGGATGTGTCCAGAAGAGACTGGTGAAACCAAACACGTTTCTTCTGCCATGCTTGGGGGCCTGTGCTCTTTTGGCTACTGCTGAGATGTGTTTGAAAGAAATGGAATGAGCAGTTACTGTGGAAAAGCAAGGTGAGGGCTTGTGCAAACACCCATCGCTGCCGGGTTGGGCTGTAGCTGTCCTCCGAAGAATAACATGGAGGGGGGGGGGGAAGCAGAATTGTAGAAAATAAAACCACCCAATACTGAAGTAAAATGAGTATTTCAGGCTACACCCATCACCAAAGTACCATGGGCCTTACAGAGACAGTAACGGCCTTTGCCACACGGTTTACTACCCCGGACCCAAGAACACACGTGCAAGCAGAGTTCTGTAGGCAGAACTGTCATCACAGTCAGGCCTCCACGAGGACACCAGCTTCACACCTTTGGTTGCTACTCACAGTATGACATCTGTACTCTGTGCTCAGCTTCCTCACTGCTGCTGAGCACCACCAGGGGGGACGGTGGCATGGCTTAAGCACTGGGCCATTCTGGGCTCTGTATCAGTGGGGAACAAAATCCTGCCTTGTTTTCCCTTCTGAATGCCTGACTGTATCTGGTTTGAATTTTCTCAATTCCAATAAATAATGATACTTTCTAAAATTATTATTGCAATGTAAGGGTGAAATCTGAGCCCCCCCCCCCCCCCCCCCCCGGGGGCAGGACACCTGCTGTCTGCAGACATCACACTCATTCCCAAAATGCCAGTTAAGCATATACTGGGAGTATAATGAATGCACCACACAGAGTAAAGGATTTATTAACTGCTCTGCTAAGAACATCTCCTAAACAGTGGGACAAGAACTGAGAGTGTATCTGGGGAGGTAAAAAAGGCAATGCTGTTTGAAATCCTGGCCATGCTTCTCCTGGGTCAAAGTGAGGCCGGCGCAGCTCAACAGAAAATGGTCAGAGAAAGGAGGGGTGGTAGTTAAGATGAAGTTCCTTGTTGCTTTATTCATTGCACCCATTTTCAAACAGAAGGAGACAAAGCCACACTAAAGGGCTGATAACCCCAGCTAGGTTTGGACAACGTGGACTTAAAAAGGTTTCAAGCAGCTTAAAGGATTATTTTGGAAATCCAGTATCTGGGGGAATCCAGTACCAGCTAAAAGCCAACCTGAAACCAGCCCATCACACAGAATGAACTTGACTTTAAAAACCTGCCTCTGGCTCTTAAATCACCAGCCTGCAGGGGGGGATTTTTCCCATCCCCTTCCATTGTTGCTAGATCCCAGCAGAAATGGTCATGACAGACCGGGCAGAGTCTGTCATGGCTCAACCCTGTTTACCCTGTGCCTGCCAAAGCAAAAGGTTAGGACTCCCCCTAAAAACAGCATGGGCGGGAAGGGTGAGATAGTTTTACTGTGCTGCCTTCAGTCGTCCCAAGATCTGTCCTTCTATCTTCTCACCCTTTACGGGCAGAGTTTCAGACTCGGGAGGTAACTTGAAATGGCAACGCCGTAACAGAAAGACTAGCACTGGCACACTCAGGCCCTGGTAACAACTGTCCATTCCATGTGACGAAGAAATGGTGTTTAATCTAAACCACTGAAAAAACAACACTGTGTCTAATCAACACAGAAAATCAAAACAAACAAAACAAGCCCCCCCCCCCCCCCCCCAACATCATGATCCTCTAACTGCAAAGTAAACTCAGATCTAGCTGTACTGCTTCAAAATAAAAGCTGGCTTCTTACATCATCCCAGCAACACAAGTAAGAAAGGCAGCACAATACAACTAATGAAGCAGTGAGGTCACTGTTCTTTAGTTATATAAAATTGAAAGCAAAACCGAGACAGCACAGTGGCTGAAAGCAAGAAAGTCCCTTTGGGCTGGAAGGCAGAAATTCCCCTGTGGTGTGGAAGTACCTTCCTATCTGCCTCCTTCCCGTCTGCCTGTGGTCAGCTCTTTGTTTTGTCACCTCAAATCCACCTTTGCGGAACTTCACCCCTGGGGTGGCAGAGTGCACTAGCCTAGCATGACAGCTTTAACTAGGGAAAATTAACCCACGCCCAGCAACTGCTTCTCCTTTCCTTCCCCTCCATCCTGCTTAATCCTGTGTGGCACCTCCACAGAATAACAGAAGAGGTATGCCAGCTCTTTTCCCGTCTTCCACCTGCAGAGAACACAAACACCTCCAGTCACCAGGAGACTCAACCTTGAGACTTTTAGAAAGTGCAGTCTAGAAAAAATGTTACCTGTGAACTCAATCCTGATTCAATTTTACTGCTGCCTAATCTAGGAAAAACACCTTACCTGGTAATTTTTTTTCTTTACTGTTTGCTGTCCCTCTCTCTCCTGTTTTTGTTTCTGCTTAGTCCTGCTGTGGGTGACCTTTATCAGGCTGGGAGGCTTGCGGGGAGACAGATGACTGAGTGGCAAAGCAGAAGAGCTGGGTGTATTTGCCTCACAAGGTTGTACAGAACCGTAAAGTCAGTCCCCGATTCGCCCACAGGATGAAACAGGCACCAGAAAGTTAAAACACCAACACAAGGTCTTCCAGTGGAAGAACGGGAAATAAACTGAGGTCTCCTGGTTCTCAGAAGATACAGAGAACCAATGAGAAGACACAAACAACCAGAACAGGCAAAGGAGGAGAGACCACATAAGCAAGCCCTCAGTTTACAGACCTGTCTGCTGCAAAGTTACTTGCTAACATGCAATAGTCAAACTTTGACCAGTATTTACTGCTTGCTTTCTCAAGCCTTAGTCACGTGAAGGCTTCTGAATGCCACCTGGATACTGTATAACCAAAGCGGGGGGGGGAAGGGGGGGGGGGCAGGAATGGAAGGAAAACATAAAGACCAAATACATTCAGCAGCCCTGGAAGGGTTCCGTATTCAGCCCACCTATTATTTCAGACTGAAAAGCCCCTGTGAGATCTGGCATTGATATACTGCAAACACTCAAGAGCCAGTGGCCTACATTTAGAGGAGAGAAACTAAAAGAAATATACATGCCAGTAGGAAATGGGAGTTATCAGCCAAAAAGTAAAACGAACAGAAACATCACATACATTACATTATCAGGGCAAATATTCCCAACAGAATCTGTATCCTGTACTAAAAATGTAGTCTTCCTGTTTCTGTAACTATGAGTTTCTTTCTTCCTTTCAAAGACTTCAACTCTGATGCATATTTAGAAACTGAATTTGTTCCAGTTTTAAACATGAGAACCAAAAATAACTCCTAGAGTCAAAACTTAGTTTACTCCCAAAACTAGTTACAGTGGTACCTCCAATCTGAGCATTAGACTTTTGTAGCCGCACTCCCATTTTCTCATTTGCAAAGCAGATGACTTGATTAAAACCTTTTCTGCAGTCAGTCTACCTTTGTAGCAAGAAATGGAAAGTTACACGTGCTTCAGGCTGCCAGATCTGATACACAGAACAATGCAAATTTCCTGACTGTCATAAGAAATAAACAACAGTTTCATACAAGTGAGGTTTTAGGCTACTGCAGCTGTTTGCAGAAGCAGGCAGTAGATGATGAGGGGTATCACACCAAATGGGATAATCCACACTAAACATCCATGACTGCCACACTGCCAAAACAAGTGCTGTGGAAGTCGGGGAACACAGTTGGAAAAGTTGGGTGTCACGAATGGAGGCACAGAGGGAAACACATGACTACAGATGCACGACAGCATGAAGAGCCAGGATCTCCCCAGAGCACACAGCTGTGTTTATGTTCTCTTTTAAATCTGACCTTCACACATTACACATTTCAATCCAATTTAATGATTATTTCCTGCTAGAAGATGTTTAATAGTATTGCATTCTAGCCGATAAAAGTCAATGTCTGAACTGACAAGTAGGAAAACATAAAGGTTACAAAGCCAACAGTTTTGGGGGTGGGAATTCCAGGAGTACAAACTCCTGTCTCCTGCTTGGAGACAAGAAACACTACCAAGCACAGGCCTCAGCAATCTAAGTGTAGGGGAGGAAGGGAAGAAGAGATCCTTCATCATCACGATGTAACAGAACACTACAAGGACATATCTGGTATTTCCCCAGGCCAGAATCGAGACTGCTGTTGAACACAAACTTTACACTGGCTTTAGCCACGAGGCTGTTTCCATATTTGATCCTCCTCTGACTTACCACAGCAGGCCGCAGAGTTGTCTCCCAGGTTTCAAACTCAGCAGACCACCAAAAGTCCTGTTAACTTCTCTGAATGTTTACCACCAAGGACACCACTTCATGAGGTGCTGCAAACCTCAGCCACAATGACGCTGAGATCCCTCAAGGTCCCTGCCAGCAGGACAACTGCCCTTCACCACAGATGGGGGAAGGGTCCTTCTGCTGCAGTGACAACCTGAATGTGGCACAGACGGGGAACCTTATCTTCAAAGGGCAAGAGAGGGATTCCTGGAAAGACTGCCTATTGCAGGTGGTGGTTTCCAAGCCACCAAAATCAACCTCACCAAGGCAAAACTGCAAGAGCCATGTCCCTGTGAAGTCTTTGCACAAGATTCTGGTTTGGTTACACACTGTTGAGTCCCTAACCTATCTTGTTACACTGTAATCCTATCTCCCTACATTATAATCACTAAGCCAGCATGGAATAACAGGCTGGTTTACTATAAACCAGGGTCTCAAATTGTACATGCCTCAAGTCAGCCACAGGCACAACATATTCAACGCCTCTGACAACCAGGTCACTTATTTGTAAACCTAAATGTGGGTTAACAAAACCAATACTGAGCCCCTTAAAAACATACTTGCTCCTGTACAACAGCAATTTCTCTTTCACCAGACAAAAAACACACCCACAACACTGATTAGCTCTGACTACAGCTGACAGGCTTGTGTGAACATTTTATATGAATCAAGGACAGCAAGGCTGGTTCTGAGTCCATCAGTGTGGCAATTTCTGCCCAGGCCAACACCCAAGTAGCAGAAACTGTGACAACCAACCTCACATTTCACATTTTGTTTAGAACAAAACTCTGTGGAGTTTTGAGGTTATTAGTGAACTTAGTCCAAGAAAATTAAGCTGCTTTTAAGAACTGCTGCACAGTTGGTGCCCACTTGAGATGCACGCTAATTATCCACACAATTTGTAAAACAAGTTTAATTAAGACAACGTATGTACATGCTTTCACAAGCAACAGCGGAGATCAAACAAGATATGGTATGCGTTCTGTAACCCTGATGGCAGGCATGTCCCTGAACAAAAGTAACCACTTACTTCGCAGCCTCATTTCCCAGGTCTCAACCAGAAGGTGACTTCTCATGCAAGAGCTTCAGCTGCTCACATAAAAAGACATCAGAGGATGGCCTCATGCCTTTACTAAGATGAATGATGTGAAAAAGAGACATTACCTGATTGGACTGAATTTTCGGCACACGTGCTTTCCACATTTGAGCTTCCCTAGAGATTGCCGTCTCCAGAAGGAGAGACAACCTTTGGCTCTCCAGGGGTCCTGAAAACTTCATGGTAACCCTTGGATCCACCTGCCACTCAGCTGGATACAGCTACCTGCAAAACCAAAGACAGCCTGGTGAAACACTGAACACAAGAAAGTACTAAAGCTGCAAGAAATGGAACCGTGATTGGGAACTTGGCAAACCTACCCAAGGAAACCCAAACCCAGACTGAATTCAGATGAAGCTGAGCCAAAATGATCCACAGCTCACCTATGTGAGCTCAAGAGTTCTGCCACTTTGAGGATTTCTGGTTCTCTGTTACGCAGGTAATTAGGCAGGACCTCTCCTGCTTCAACAGCAATAAAAAAATCGGGGTGTTCCATGAAAAATACCTGACAAGAGGGAGGAGCTGTCTGACAAATATAAAGGGGATTTCAGTAAGACCTGTTTCACCTGCAATGGAAATGTACCAGGGAGTTCAAGAAGGTTCCTCTTGTATCTAATCTGAAAATACGATAGATCCACAAAACTTCAGGGCACAGCTCTGATTTTAGATAGGAAATGTGTTTTTAAAAAAAGTGACAAAACCAGTGACAGCCTTTGAAGGACATAACTGACATGACAGGAAACTTGTAAAGCAACAGATTCTATCACCTGCTTTCAAATGGAGAAGACTATCTGATTGAAAAGTTTATTCTAATTGTTTTAATACTGTCTGCCAGTGCCCTGGCCACAGATTCCATACCAGTACCAAATCACTTAGGCAAAACAGTTCAGCCTGAAGGGTAAATCCATGGGAAAATTATTTAAACTTTCAGTTCCTTCTGTGGGCTCTTGTGAAACCCACAGCAGGTGGATATGGGCCAAATGCTAACCAGGCGATCTGAGAAAAAACAGTTTGTTAATATAAAAGTTTGTGATGGATTTACAGGAAATAAGGGGACAGAACCAGAGAAAATAAACAAAAATCACAGTGAAAACAATCAGTTTATTATAAATAATAGCAGCAGCTCTGAACAAGCTCAGAGTGCTTTCAGAGTTAAGGGAAACTGAAAAACAAGTATTTATCAATTTACAGCAGTTTTTAATGGGCACAGTTCACACAGAACCTGCATGAGGCACAAAACCACACTCAAGTCCCGCTTAAGAGACAAGCAGGTTTTAAGTGGCAAGTAAAAGCCAGGCCTCTCAGTCCTGAACAAAAACCCCTTTTATGTTATTTTTTATAAAACAAATGCTTCTCCATGAACAAAGGAGAGGCTGTACTGGCTTGGCATACCGCTATACAAGGTTTCCAGCCATGTAATGACTCAAGGTGATTTGGGCCATATACAGATTTCTCTAGCTTGAGGAAACACCTTGGATTCAGAATTCCTGAACATGCCCAAAATGCTCTGCAGTGTCTCAAAAATACTTTCCATCAGCCTCCAAATGGCTAATTGAGTATCACCATGGACTGAAAAATCCCTATTAGAAGCTCCTCACTTGACAAGAGGGGGACTCCGCCTGGGAAGAGGGCACTTTACAGTCATCTGAACCATGGCTACTTACGTGCATTTACTCATTTCTGCATCTTTTTAAACCTCGGGGCGATCCTAATGTCACTCATACCACTGTAAATGGGACTGATGCACATTCACAGACTTCCCCCTGCCCAAGATCATTCACTCAGGGGCTTAATTAGCATCTCATTATCCTCCCACCAGACACAGGTTTCCCTGTCGGCTGGGCTGGCTCCCAAAGGCCAGATGCCCCACCATTTCCAGAGGCATCAGTGCTTCCAAAGGAGGTGTATAGCCCTGGTAAAGAAGGACTGCAGTGCTGAGGGCTGCATCCTTGCACTGATGGAGAAAAGCAGTTCAAACTGCAGGCACAGGTGAAATAATTCTGTTCCCTCGGGCATGTGGGGGGGATCATCCAGCAAACAGGGGTTGGGCTGAGTGTAGCCTTCATGCCTTGCCACTCAGGGGCCCCAGAAAAGGTTTGTTTCTCCATACCTGTGCACAGCAAAAGATGGGCAACTTTTAGATTTTTTATTTATTTATTATTTATTCGAGACTGTAGACTGCCAGTTGCTACATACCAGGTGAAAAACATGTCTGGTCATCTTAGGACCAGACCCAAAGCTCCACCAAGCTAGTAGAAACCAAAGCCAGGGACCAGAGCTGAGTTCCAAGAGCCAAGAGACAGCAAGCTCCTCTCCGCATGCTTGTCAGAAAGAAAGCAATAGCTATATTTAGCCTGACCACATCTCCTAACATGAAATATTGATGGTCCTTTCTTGGTTTTGCAGGAAAGAGAGAGTAATTAGCCACCCCTCAAATCACTGGAGAAAACACATGAAAAATTTCAGGCTGAAGCAAGCATCCTCACATGCATTCTTTTTCTGTTGTGACTGACAAACGTTCCCACTGTATTTACAACACAAGTGGGTTTCATAGGTCTCTGGGCCCAGAAAAGATCTTTTTCTTACCCCGGTGCCTTTTTAGGTTGGCCCAGTACTGCCTTGACAGGTCAGTGGCCCCTGCAGAGAGCCCTGGAGCACCCTGACATACCAGTGGCCCTGCAAGGGACATTTTTAGTAAGCGACGATGGCAACTGTTCCGAGTAGCCAAGGGGAAAGGAAAGGGAAAAATAACTTTTCCTTTCTGAAATGGGGAGGTGATTCAATGAGGGCTGAGGCATAATAACCTTTATAGGGAAAAAAAGAAGGCGAATGACATGCTTGAAAGTTTCCCTTACAGCTTTTTGTTGACATCTCCTATGAGCAAGGTCGTAAGTTGCACGCTGGATCCTGGTTTGAAATTACAGTCAGAACTTTGGTGTGAGGTTTTCACTTGTGAAAGGCATTAAACATCACCTGCTTATTCATTAATAATACCCCAATTCAGTCCATAAAATGTAACCCATCTCATAAAGATCTCTCTTTTTGATCTCAGCTTATAGCTAACTTTATTTAAAGAGGTACTTTCAACTTTCCCTAGAGAAGTTTCACACTGTTGAATGCTGCAGGGTACAGTTTTCAAAAGCAGTTTCATGTTTGCAATAGGGGCAGACAGCTACCAAGCCTTTTTGGTTGGAGAGTGTGTGCAAAACAGTCTATTTTTTAATTGGGGGGGGGTGGGGGGGGGGGGGGGGGGGTGGGTGTTGGCTTTGTAATCATTTGAACTGACAATAAAAAGTGTCTCCTGCTGACAAAAGATGCATTACAGGAATTATCCACACGCTCCTAAGACAGTTGCTGATTTTTCCCTGCCATCCTGATTTTGTGCACAAGCCCAGGGTGGTATCCTGAACAAGAGGGCAGTCCCAATACAGCTTAACCACCACACGCATTTCTGCAGACCTTTTAAGTATTTTCAGCTTTAGCAAGCAATAATACAATCTTAACAGATGACCTGAAAGCAGACTTTTCTGGGTGGGGGAGGCAGGCAAAGAAAAAGGAAGAGAGGAAGGAGACTGAATTCCTCAGAGCTCCAGCCAACCATCTGTGATTTCACATGATCAAAATGTAGTTTGCACTGCTAGAAGAAACTAAGTGCAAGTTGTGATTAAAGATTTCAAAGCTGTGGGCGGGGGCTGGGAGGGGGAGGGAGAAAAGAGGGAAGAGGAGAATGGGGATAGATGTGAATTTTAGTAGCTGGGGCTTTCTCTTAGCTTAACTCTTTCCTCACCCCACGTCAGTAAAGTAGGCAGGAAATCCATGCCAGACAAAGGGAAATACCTACAGTGGTGCTGCTTCCATCTGAGAAGAAAAAAAACAGCAGGCATCAACCACTTCTACAATTTTGTCTGTATCACATAATAGCTTTAAGAGAGTATTTCTGTAGCTTAGAGAGTAAAATTTCCCATGGGTGCCTCATTACTGGAGATCAGTATCTACCTTTCTGTCTTTTCAACCTGCCAAAGCAAAGCCTGATGTGATAGCTATTAAGTGGAAGACCAGCAAGAGTTAAAATCAACTGGTTTTAGTTGTAGAGACTAAATCTTGCTGCAGCCCATTACTGGAAATAACTTGACAGAGTTGTGAGGCAGTACATGAATGACCTTTCTTAAGTGAAATGACTGGAAAAAAAAAAAGATGTTTGGGAATATAGTTTCAAATTGCATCATCTAAATAAGCACATGTATTTGAAGCAATAAACTTACTTCTACGGAATGAATACTAATACACACTAAACCAAGAATGCATTCCCCCATGAGAAATGAATTAGTATCAAATATAAACATGCCATAGGTACGTGTGTGATATTGCACCTTTAACAAGCAGCGTGTTTGCTTTGTGTATAAGCCAGCCCACAGACCTAAACTCGGAAAGAGATAATTTTATTCAGGCTGGGCAATGAAGAGGGCCCTTGCCACTTGTCTGCGTGACTCACCCCCAGCTAACTCCCACAACCTGCTACAAAGGCAAGTCTGTGAGATATTTTGGCAGCATCACTCAAACAGGCTCATGTACATCACACACTTGCCACTTCTCCTCCTCCAACCAGATTTTTCCTGGGAGTGCAAATAAAGTTGACCTCATTTTAGTGCCCATTTTCCAAACTGAAGGATTTTTCCAAACATTTTAAAGAAGCCTGCCAGTTAAAGACATGAGTCTGCAACTGCAAAACAAGAACGCAGAATGATGTTTTGATGGGAGGGAAGGAAGGTGGTTTTGAGTCTCTTTTGAAGCAGAGAAATCCCAGGGCCTATTCAACAGCAGGAGCCCTCTGGAGAGGCCTGGACCAGCAGCAGTGCACTCTTCTTACCATCATCTTACGTTTCTATTCTGTTAAAAAAGGAAAGCTGAGATGGAATTTGTGACAGCACCATGAACACTCTGAGGCTGGTAAAGCATTGTGATAGAAAATATAAAACCAGTTTCTGTTCTTCATGGTACTCCCTAAGCGCTGCAAAAAAATAAATCAAGAAAACAGGTGGAATAATTCAGGGAAAGACAAAAAAAAAAAAAAAAAGCCCCACATGAGGACATTTTTAAATTGGAGGGAAGGTGCCACAGAGCCACTGGTGATGGCAGTAGTATAAAGTCTTACATCTGTCACTCAGGGGGAGTTCTGCACATTCAAGCCAGAGCTGTTCCTTTTTTTTTTTACAGCAACCACCACT